GGTTTTGATTTTTGTTTTATTCCTTAAATTGTGTGAATGATTGCCCCAAGAGAACAGGACAATCAATCAAATACCTGCCCAACATCTGATGAGCACCCAAGACACACTGTACACACCACCAGATCAGATTAACTCCCTCACTACTCTGTCAGGGTAATGTTACAGAACAGATAGGCCTAAACTCTAGTTTGGCCTTGTCTTAGAAGATCACCGGTAATATGCTAGAGAAACTAACACGGGGGTGGGAGGATGTGGCTTAAAATACCCTCCAGCCCCAACCAGTAAAATTCAGCTTGTTAGGCACCCAGGCAATAGGTCCTGTTCCAGTTCAGTTGCTCCTGTCTCTTAGAAAATGGCCAGCCACTGTAATGCACTGCTCACGACTATGGTGCACACTGTACACACCACGCCCCAAATGACAAGCCATTCTGCCTCTGCGCTTCCTGCTTGCCTCTCCCCTTAAGCCCTGGACCACCAGAGACCAGGGCCTGATGGTATGGGAGTGATCCTGCCAACACAAATAAGTTTGCCTGCAAACCTGGGTGTTGTTTGGGGTGGGGCTCTTGCGTTTGCACAGCCTCAGCAGTGGCCCTCCTCCCACAGGGCAGAGCATATGAACCGTGCTCATGACCTGAGAACCTGTCACTCCCAATCTGTAACTCGAGGCAGGATTTCCTGGAAACACATCCCAAAGTTCCACCTGCCTGGTGGGCATCACCATACAGATGTCCCAACATTCCTTCAAACGCGTCATCACACACTCCTGAAACAAACCCCAATCCCGCTTCATGTTCTCTACTCCTGGCCTCTACAAAGTTATCTCCATCCTCTTGAGTAGAGACCTCTGAGCAATCAGTAAAGCTCCGGAGAAGACTGAGGTGTGGCTCAGAGCTAATGTGCTTATCCAGCATGCATAGGGCCCTAGATTCAATCCCCAGAACATAAACCACATTCAGATAGAGCAAATCACCTCCCTAAGCCTGTTTCTTTTTTCAGTAAAGCTGACAAGGTCAGTATCAACTTCAGATGGTCATTAAGGGACAGTTTTTTACCTTACTTTTTATAGTTAATTACTGCATAAGAACCATCAACTCTGCCAACCAAGTATTTCAGCTTTCTACTCCTACCACAACAGTACTCATTTGTTAAGTCAACATTTCTAGCACACACACACACAAAAAAAAAAAAAAAAAAACCTGCAAAACTCAGGGCTTGCCAAACAGCTCAGTGGATTAAAATGTCTACAAGCAGGTGCAGGGGCCAGGGTGTTAATCCCCAGGCCTGCAGTGCCTGCCCCACCCCCAGGGAGAGCTGAGATGGCAATTGAGACTGGGCGTGGTAGCGCATGCCTGTAATCCCAGCTCTTGGGAGGCTGGAAACAGGTGGATCACTATGAGTCTGATCTAAAAGTGAGACCCTGAACACCCTGTAGACCAATTCCCTAAAATAAAAAAAAAAATAAAAAAAAAAAAAACCTGTAAAACTCTCTAACTAGCAACTGTGCTCCCTGTCCTCTCCACCCCACTGGCCTGTGAAGCACAGAGATAGAGGTATGACAGGTCCTAGTCCTCTTACTCATATTCTCCAAGCCCAGCACAGTGCATGGCACTGAGTAGGTGTTCAAAAAACACTTCTTAGCAATGCTGACTGGCTCCAAGGTGATCACCGCCAAGCACCAGGCACAATGAAGGAAAACTTCAATCTCGTGAGTATCAGAGGGAAGTTCCAGTGCATACTGAATAAGGACGCAGGGCCGGGGAAAGAGCTCAGTAGAATAAGTGCCTGTCTGGCAAGCACAAGGTCCTGAGTTCAATTCCTGGTACCACAAAAAATAATAA